TCTCCTGGGCGGGGCTGCCAACCCCCAGGTGGGGCCTGGAGCTCTCCCGGAATTATAACTTTTCTCCAGAAGACAGAGATCAGTTTCCCTTCGGGGAAAATGGCTTGCTTTGGAAGGTGAACCTAAGAAGAGCCCTGCTGGGTCAGATCAGTGAGGGTCCCTCTAGTCAAGCCTCCTGTCTCACTCAGTGGCCAGCCAGTTCCTCTGGAGGGCCAACAACAGGGCACAGAGACTGAGGCCTTCATAAGAACATAGGAAGAGCCCTGCTGGATCAGACCAGTGGTCCCTCTAGTCCAGCCTCCTGTCGCACTCAGTGGCCAGCCAGTTCCTCTGGAGGGCCAACAACAGGGCACAGAGACTGAGGCCTTCATAAGAACATAGGAAGAGCCCTGCTGGATCAGACCAGTGGTCCCTCTAGTCCAGCCTCCTGTCGCACTCAGTGGCCAGCCAGTTCCTCTGGAGGGCCAACAACAGGGCACAGAGACTGAGGCCTTCATAAGAACATAGGAAGAGCCCTGCTGGATCAGACCAGTGGTCCCTCTAGTCCAGCCTCCTGTCGCACTCAGTGGCCAGCCAGTTCCTCTGGAGGGCCAACAACAGGGCACAGAGGCTGAGGCCTTCCCCTGATAAGAACACAAGAAGGGCCCTGCTGGATCAGACCAGTGAGGGTCCATCTAGTCCAGCATCCTGTCTCACACAGTGGCCAACCAGTTCCTCTGGAGTGCCAACAACAGGGCAGAGAGGCCGAGGCCTTCATAAGAACACAGGAAGTGCCCTGCTGCATCAGGTCAGTGGTCCCTCTAGTCCAGCCTCCTGTCTCACTCAGTGGCCAGCCAGTTCCTCTGGAAGGCCAACAACAAGGCACAGAGGCCAAGGCCTTCTCTTGATGCTGCTTCCTGGCTTTGGGATTCAGAGGCTCAGTGCCTCCAGCTGCGGAGGTTCCCCTCGGCCACCATGGCCAGGAGCCATTGACAGACTTATCCTCCATGAATCTATCTAATCCCCTTTCGAAGATGTTTATTCCTGCAGCCCTCAGTATATCCTCTTAGGGCATGATGCCAAACTGGGGTTCATCTCCTCCCCTAAACCCTGCCCTCTTCAAGCTCCAATCCCCAAATCTCCAGGAATTTTCCAACCCAGAGTTGGCAACCTTGCTTCTGGGTGGCCAGGCTGCAGTGGGGATAGAGGCTTCGAAAAGCCAAACCTGCCTATATATGGTATATACTCAAATACTACACAGGGTCCATCCCCCCTCCTAGGGAGGGATGCCAGCCTCCAGGCGGGACTCAGGGATCTCCCAGAATTACAGTTCACCTCCAGAATCCAGATCAGTTCCCCTGGAGAAAATGGCTGCTTTGGAGGGGAGACTCCGTGGCATCGTACTGCACTGAGGTCCCCGTCCTCCCCAGGCTCCACCCACAAATCTCCAGGAGTTTCCCAACCTGGATCTGGCAACCCTATCCCCCCACCCCCTGCTGGTGGCAAGAGGGAATCTGGCAACCCTACCCCCAAATGGTATCAAAAGGGTTTGTACTTACATTCTTACATTCACATACA